AGTGGAGCTGAATGAACTGGGTGCAGAATGACAGAAGACGGAAGTTTAACAGGACAAATTTTGCAGTACTATGGAGAACACCTGCACAACAAGCAAAAAGAAACAAACGTTCCCATGTGTAAAACTCAATCTCAACATATACAAATTCTTCAATGATCGATGCAAATACCAATACTGGGAACGCATTTAGAGTTTGCCGGATAAATCATCAGAACGAACGGGTACAAGGTGGTGGAAATATTTGGAATCCAGTCTGATTCTGGATTCGAGGGTCAGCTTGTTTACGACCTACTTGGCAATCAAATAAGGCCGCTGTCACATATATGGAATTGTTAAACATGTTTATTGACCTGCTTGCAGCAGTTTTTCACACTGTGCAAGCAAAGTATTTTATTGGCGTGTATTACTAGACGAAAAATTTGCACTGAAAACAGTTGGGTGGCAAGCCTTCTTCCCTGAATAGGAGTTCCATTATCCGCGAATTTTCCCTATTCGTGTTCATTTTTCAGTTCTCACCGATTGTTTTATTCCTAAATCAACTAAACATAATGCATAAAAATTAACTAAAATTAACTTCAAAATGTCTGGCGATAGCTTGGTATTTTAGCAAGTGCCTTTCAAAGCCAAAAGCTAATCCGGGGTTGCTGCTGAGCCGTGTGAATAGCACTCATAAGACATCGCTCAAAAAAGCTAGACAAAGAGAGAGAACGCATATGGATCGTAAAGTTATCCGTAGCCTCCTTAACATTTCCTTCGAATTCTGGACAATTTTGTCTTAACTACTCAAATCCCAAGAGGAGTTACTGTATTGCAATTAACTTTCTTTTCACTGCTTTTCAGCTGCTCTTGGTCGAACGGTTTATTCTCTAGCTACCTGCCAGAATGGTTTGAATCGCCATGGCGGTAGGCTTGATGCACACTGCTGAAGATTCCCAGTGAGAATTAAAAAAACTCACATTGCTTCTCGGCTTTTTGGCACAATCACAAAATGTAAATCATATTGAAATTCTACGGTGGCATGTTTTTTCGAATTCATTGTGAGAAAGTGCCAGCTATGGTGAGAATGGTGGACGGTGGGTTTGAGAACCACAAGTCTGAAGGCCCAAGGTTTCGGAATTCAAATCTCTATTCACGCTGCATGACACGCATTAAACCGAATGCTATTTGTTGCCAAACAGTACAAACTGAAAAACATAACATACACACCAGCAGAATTACTTACAAACCGGTACCAAAACGGAATTCAAGTATGTGCTTGGCGACAGCGTGTCAAAAACTCAACGACAAATTATAAGTGAATATCAAATGATCAAATAAACAGTAACTTATCCGTATGTGAATACGAACTTGTGATGCGATGTCTTCCGGACGTATACATAATTTTGGAGCCGTTTGACTCCATGAGACATAGGTTAACCAAGTTCTCTAAATCCAGTAGATTGTTGTGAAGACTGTTTGGATTCGGCTTGTGACTCAAGTTGATCAGATATCTGGCGCGATTCAAGCTTTTCTCTGCGGAACATACTACTCATGACGTTATCTTAAATTCTTGAGAAGCCCGGACCAAAATATCCTTCTTGGTTTCTATCAAGCAGACGTAGTCTTCGAGTCGCCGCTAACCTTTCGACCTATTTGAACCTAAATTGTACGAACTCCGAAAATACACTCATCTTCACACCAATCTAATTTTAAAGCAAGCCTCAATGCAATCCGAATAAATCTCTCTTAAATGATATTCTCCAACTGAATGTGCTGCACAAGAGCGTCTCTATTTTCAGTTGAGATGATGGAGATATCATAATGGCTATGTTACTGATACCAGGCACCATTCAAGTGGCTGACTGAGTCACACTCAGCAACTCGAGAAAAATTCATCGCGCCTTTCAGATTGTATTTGTGACCTTCTTGGTTTTCGTGTATGCCTCAAAGGTCTCGTGGTCGTCGATCACTCACGACACAGAATAACAGAGTAATCGATGGAACCGCCCAACCGTGATCAGAGGATAGCCCCGACTGGCAGCATGTATAGTGACACACGCAACGCTACTCAACTCACAACAACCTACTCTTTGCTACGCTACACTGCGTTCCTGAACGACGCGTCGATGATGTTAACTAAACTGACGATGAAACGTTTGCAATCAAATTATCCAGCTCAGCGGAAAACCCAACTTCACCACATTTCTCAGGAGGATAACAAAGAGCTTCGTTCCACCGAAAAAGAGTGAAACGGATAGAAATGTCAGTTCTCGGGAAGAGCTGGTGAAAAGCGCTAGTTATTCACTTGGGAGCTTTTGCTTCCGCTTGTTTCTTTGATAACAACCGTTATTCTGTTGAACTACCTGGCGTTACTTGGAAATAACTGTTGATAGAAATCTTCTCCACCGATAGAAAATAATAAGTCAATAGTTCGGCTGTTTAACAACTCTAAGGCAGCCCTTTACAGTTTTAATGAGAAACTTCAAAACTAAAACTTTTCCATTTCAAGCGCTTTTCCATCAGTCGAGTATACCTAATGCCTTGTTTCATCTGGGCCTGTAATTTAGGGGGGCTGATATTCACACTGCATGTGTCGTGGACTTTAACTAGGAACTGAAACTCTCAAAGACGGAAGTGAATTTCGCTAATCGCTCTAAATAAATATAACAGATAAGCTTGTTTTGCAATAGATTGCCTCCAGTGGTTAACCAACCTTACAGAGAAAATTATGGCCATTCCATCTTTTCTTGCGAGATCTTACTGCACGATTCACCCTTTTTCTGTTTTTTAAAATTGCCTTGCGGATATTACTAATCGGCAGTCTTTGCATGATTCTACTTTAAGAGGCCGAAAAACAGACATTTTGAAGACATTAAACTAGAACAAACCTCTTTGTCCATTGATGTGCTCACCCGAATAGTCTGCGCTAAATTTGACACAAACTGGGTGGCTTTATTTACCTCAAACATGATAAGATCTGCTATGGACTGGTAATGAGTTTCGGTAGGTTCAGCAATCCAACCACATATTTTGTTTAATTTCTGCGAGTACATTATTTGTGTAGGTATCTTATGTTAAGGGGGTGGAACGAAATTAAAATTGTTTTGGCACAGATTGGGAAACAGTAGGAGGTATTTCAGAATGAAAATTCTTTGTTTCTAGCCTTTTGGCAGATAATCACGGGGTTCAAATCAACTTAATGCTCTTTCATATCGTCCAGACTTCCACTAGTTCACGCACCCAGTTTGAATGCAACTCATTTATATGCTACGAGAGCGTATCCGTCCCTGATCAATCGGAATAACCCTTTTGACTGTTCAATTTACATTTGGCACCGTATACTTAATTTGTTTATAGTAGGAGGTTTCGGAAGACCGTTCAATCGACCACACATGCTAGCACCAGATTAAAACGGCCAATCAGGACCAAAAGCCAGTTTCATCCACTGCCATATTTTCCCCTTCTTCTGTCGTTTGTCCCTAAACTGTTTATTCGGACTATAAAAGCGAACTGTCGTTTGGATCAGGGATGACCTACACACCATGCGACAATACTTAGTTCTTTTTTCACTGGCAGCACTCTTCATTGTGCAAGGTAAGCACCAGAAACAACTGTTTATAATCTCATAAGTCGTTAACACGCTTTCTTCATCTGTGCAGACCGGCCAAATGAGTTAGTAATAATTCCTGGCTTAAAAAGAATTTCTTTCGTTTGGGCCTTATATCAGAGTTCAGATACTGTAATAGTAGATATCAACCTAAGGCATAAGATGAAATTTGAATGCATGTTATCATATAAAGAGCCTCTAATGCAAAACAAGTGATTGTAGGACCACCTGAGATTGATTTATCTTGATTAATCATTCTAGCTGAAGTCCTATTGATCCGCCTGATTCTTTGTTTGTCCTTCAAGCGTGGCAACTGACTTATAAACAGGCCGACAACAAACAAACGCGCAGAGTCTACGAACATTGCTATTCATAGATATATGGTGTACTGATACAACCCCTCAGGCGCTTCCCCATTCCACACTGCTTCCTAAGTTATTCTGATAAAAGATGATGCACAGGAAAGCTGACTTTTTCGGTCATTACTTTATATGTAGGGCTTTGGGTAAACGATCCTCTACGCGAACGCAACCGAACGATCTTGTCTACTGATCGAATTGGGGTCACTCAAATCGTCGCGTCACGATGTAGTGACTCGTGCAATCCATCCTAACATCTAGTCTAATAGACGATCCGGAATATGTCCCCCCAGTTGTGCCATACTAGCATCAATCTAGTTGTCCCCCGTTGATCTGCAAACACCAACCACTCTTTCTACTGCACTCCCTCTTCATTTCAGGAGCCACGGTGTTTGAATGCAAAGGACTTGATGAATGGTGCGATGGAACCGTGTTCAATCGGTGTTGCGGAGATTTAAGATGTCAGCTTAATGGCTTTGCTCGGGGCACCTGTAAGACGTGTATCAAAGACGGCCACGCTTGTGCTCATGATTCGCACTGCTGCTCGGGTAACTGCCGTTGGCTCCGATGCCGGCCAGAGGAAGAAGATTAATCACTTTACCTTAAAATCAAAACTCGTTCGCATTCATAATATACATTGAACTTACACATCTGGTACTTTTCACTAATCTGTGATAGGAATAGGAAGGAGTTGAACAATGAATCAACGGACATCAGAGCTAATATGACTGTGTTCCGAACTATCCGGTGCTGCGTGAAGCTAACATAACCCGTTGCCGGCGTATAATCACTCCGACCAGCCATAAATGCTACTTACTTACTTAGAGTAATCTGTAAATGAATGCCTCACTTGTGGATAAAACTATAAAACAATATCAATATATCAAGGGCAGAAAATTGCCGAGAGTTCACGAATCATTTTTCACTACTCGTTGAAGTGAGCCGGGGAAGTCATGCACAATTTGACATCTGCGAATGGTAGATTGCGTAAGCTGAACGAATTATCAGCCACTAGCCGCAGTGAGTTACTCGGCTAGAGAGAATCGGAATCAGTCATGAATAGTAAGTAGTCGTTCATTCTCCGCGGCTTGAGAATAATTTTATACTGTAGAAGTGGAACAAGTGCCAAACTATGGGAAATCTGTCCGATAGGGAAATTAGAGGATCACTATCATTCCACTGACTGTTCGCTAGCACTTTACCGCACTGTTTTTCAAGGACACAACGTACTGCACTAGAGGTTTGTCAGGAGTTTTTGATCAGTTTGGTTTTTGTTTTTTGAGATTTGTCACTTCAAGCTTATAATCTATGCTAAATTGATTTAACATTCTGGCATCTTAGCTTTAGTTCAGATTGGATATTTTTGATAAGCTAATGACGCGAGTGACACTTTTTTCAGGAGGTACTCCAGTGCAAAACTGTCAGTTATTTGCTACCGTAAACTTTCCATGCACTGTAAATTTTCCAATGCGTGCCGCTAGTCTTTCATCACCAAAATTTACTGACTCCGAGAAAATGGTGAACAGCAGGACACAAGCGAACAAATTTAAATCATTCGTGACTCATACTGATCGTTCCTTGATACTACTTCAAAGATCGTGTAGGTTTATTGTGACGGAAGAGCAAACCGGTGTCTTCCTTCATGAAGCTGTAGATTTAAAGCCCCGTGAAAAAAATGGCATATCAGAAATTTGACTTTGCCCCCCTTGTTTTAGGCTCTTGGACAAAACATGGAGTTACATGAAGTTTGAAATCTTCGTTGGTTTGAATGTTGTGCTATGCCATGTATGGCGGACAAACTGACGTGAGATATCAAGTACTTTTTCAACAAAGATTGGCGCATCAATAATCGTCACAGATTACTGATTGTGTTCTATGTAGTGGCACATCAGCACGCATAATGCAGACTTGGTTCCTATGATACCGCAAGTCACGTTGAAAAAACATTACTCTGTACTTGGAACAAAACTTGGCCGCTGATGTTAACCTTTTCTTTAAGTGAAATGTAAAACCTTATTGCAAGTTGCATTGAATAAACGCACACCAGTGTGGAAAAGATTGCTCTATTTCTACAATCGTATGAGATTAGACTGAAAGGAACAAAACACACTTGCGGCAGGGTAGGATAACTTTTATAAATGCTCGTAAGCGGTCATAAAGACCAACTGCATCTGAAATGAATTCATCTCCTGCCCTTCAGTTTACGATGTTTTGGAAAGATCTAATTTCATAAACGGCGGTTCATGCCTTGTCGGTCGCGAAACGGATGATCATCGCATTCTGATAAAATGACGCCCACCAGGTGCAATATCATCTACGTAACAAAATTCTATGACCTAGCAACGCATTCTAGCAGCTTGCAGTGGTTACAGTCATCTCCAAACCGTCCACTCATGTGTTTTGGTCCTCTTTTTGTAAGCAGTTAGGCTTATTTGGCAACCAGTGTCGGAAACTGATGATTCAAAACTGTTGATGAGCCAAAAGATATTTTATTCCACTCCAGCCAAATGAAGTCTTAAGCAAAACGGAAAGTCATCCTCACTACCGAAGGACTATGAACGATGCCTTCAAAGTGCAAACCACTCAACAAGTCGCGCGAGACTCAGTTCTGAATAATCGGTCACCATTCAATCACGTAACTACATGCTATTTGATTGACGGATGTAGAACCAATGATCAGTTTAGATACAGGTCAATTACACTGCGAACCAACCAACCACCACCACAGAATGTGATTTCCAACCATCAGCTGAGAATTCGTGAGTTCAAACCCCCTTTAAATTTTGTGGGATGCGGGCGGTGATTACTCCCAACAAGGATCAACTAGCTGTAGGATGACTGTGCCCTCTCCACCTAGACTTACTTTACACGAAAGATAAGAGGGTAACTCAACTTTCCAAATTTTGTGTTGATATCGCAGTGGCAAAACCGTCAGCCTTAAACTTTCTGGACGATAGGTGGGCGACAGATTTCCACTGCTTTTCAGTGGCAGGTCTGCATTGAAGCAGTCTACCAAGTATTCAAGGCCACTGATGATGATGAGCGAGTTCGTTTATTTGAGGTGTGATACATGATTGCACTAAGTTTAAATTCCATTTTGGATAAATAAAAACTTGAACCGATAAGTTCGTCATAGGTCCATTTCGGGCCATACGATTATAGAAAAACGCACATTCAAAGATACGGCAAATAGAGTACAATAGCAGCCAGAAGACATGGAATAACGACTCTGGCTGAAAAAACAACCGGTTGGCTCACGAATGCCCCAAAGAATGAACATAGAGCACGAGCTGATAAGGCTGCAACACGATCTCTTCAGATAGGCATTGGTTGTGGGTGCAATCAAGCTTCCAGATAGGTTCAAGTGTTCAAGTTTAAAAACACGACGCTTTCGGCGATACGTTTGGGATGNGGCGATACGTTGGGAATGTATCGCCCCTCCACGGACAAGATGCGGGATTTTGTCGATTGGTGTTTTGACTGCTTTCTGAAAATAACCAAGAAACATCCTTAGGGTGTGCGTTCTGGTGCGTGTAAACCAAGAACCGAGAGATCGCAGTACTTCTCATACTATGAAAAATGTTTTCATGTGTTAGGAATGCCTTGGAAGGCGTCCTGGGTCTAAAAGAGTACTTGATCTTTCACACCTGTAGCGATTGCCAAATGGCAAGACAACAGCATCCGTTGGCAGCAAACTCTTAAATACGAGCACCAACCCATCACTACGGCACTAATGATGTCACCTGGATTGGTGTTGAGGTGTTTGCAGTCGAGTTTCCTGTCCCAGAAAACAAGCCAGCGACCATCTTTGCAACCCGAGCTACTGACATTTTCCTCTATAAAAAACTCCCAAGCTATAGCTTTTGAAAGCCTGTGTTTTTACAAGCTAGTTTATATACGGTATTTGGATTTTTGGACTTGGCAAATGACATACTTTATCGTTGACTGTAGTATAAAGGAGATTTCGTAATTCTCATTTGAGATTTCTTTCTGTTAGTGGAGCCTATCCCTGCTAAAAAGCCGAGAAGTAGTGTACAGTCACCTTATCTATATTAGAAGTCGTCAGCAGTGCGCAGTTCAACCGCTCAAGGTCAAACTGTCTTGTGATGAACGACTGGCCTGAATGTCGTGACTTTGAAGCTCCTTGGATTTTAGTGAAGCACTTACTGCTGGTGGTTCCAAATAAGGACCAAACAGTTGTTTCTTACCATCGGTTAGCTCCACTGACAGGACGAAATCTCAGTTAAATACTTCGCTGTGCTAATCCCGGGTCACAATGCGGGCCACCCAATGCGGAAACGTGCTGTTTATGATAAAATAATTCGATGGGATCACAAATTTCGCCACGTGTGCAGGAGAGTAGCAATGTACTTTAGCTTACTTTTTAACTCAACATTAATTGATGCAATGCAATTCTGTTTTTTTTGTGATGCTAAGCAACACCCACCAGGTAGAACAATAACTTTCAGGTATTGTGACAAGGAAATTCACAAAACAGGTGAAAGTGTTCAACCATTTTTGTAGGCCACTGTCATGTGGGAACGTTCAGAAACCCTAGGGTTAATGTGGCGCTTTTTCCTTAGCTTATACTCAAGAGTCACCGTGCTAAAGCGGACAGGAATTCACCTCGTAGAGTTTGTAATACTTAACTTGGATTCAGATAAAACTCTTGTATTATACAACTCTACAATGTACAGGTTTTTTCACAACTTTGAACTCCACACTCCGGCCAGCATCATTTTTCGTTTCTTAAACGTTATTATGAAAAATATCCACCAAACTCCATGCACTGCTTGCATTCCAGCAGTGTATTATGTTGTTCACAATACACAGTCGTAGAAAAAACCTAAAAACTGTTTTCTTTATGCAAATTCAATGACTGATGAGCTAATTTGGTGAGGTACATTTGCTAGCATGTTACAGTGGCAAAACTACATCGTCGCATATGATTTATAATAAAATTTAAAGCAATAACATCTGTATTTTAAAAAATGGCATAGTTAGCGGGCAGTAGCCGGAAGTGAGATTTCAGAGCTCGTATGACCACCAGACACAGAAATGTGATTGACGGTCAACCTCAATTAGGCCATTTGTTTTGGGGAACAACTGTTTGGTTTTTCACAATATATATGCTCCATATTGAGAATTATGGTACGATATTGTACAAAATGAATCGTCACCAAGTTTTGCTCTTGGTGTTGATGCTCTTTGCAGTACAAGGTAAGTCATGGGAAATAATATATCAATAAATACATCAAAAAATGCTTCAACTGACGTCATTGGGTCATGGTTATTATCCGTAAATATTTCAATGTCTGAACAAAAATCACCTATTGATACTGCTTAGAACAGCTAGACAACAAACAGTCGCTATCAGGCCCAAATATAATGTGGATCTAATTTATTGGTTTCAGGGTCTAATTTCAAGGTCAAAATCTTAGAGGCTAATGGAATTTACTCATCTTTACTCTAGAAATAGTAGTCTTCATACACTACATCGTTTAACTTAACAAATTTATAATTTGAAGCGCGACCAAAATCATGTTTCATCATCGTCCGAATCCGCGATAGGTGATAGGGGACGATAATCTTCCATTTAAGTGAACACGTTCAATCGCTACTCTGTCGAGTTAAACGCATCTACTGTTTGACCCGATCTGTTAGTCCAAACTGCTTCACCTTTTGCCATAACAACCAAAATAGGAACATGATCATCAACTGTCACTTTCACTGAAGCATATCCTTAAATTGTGTTCTGGTGGTCGCTCTTGTGCTGGTTAAATAACTGTAAGCCTCAAGTGCCATTTGCTCAATTGGCATACCTCCACTCGCCATTCAGATTGCGTATAAAGGTTTAAATCATTAACGGTAAAAAGGGAAGTGGGCACAGCTGGGTAGAGATTTAGGAACGCAATGTCCCCTCACACACACGAACTCTTGAAATCCGTTTGTTTCGACAAATTTGTTCTGCGTAGGACAGCCAAGCGAGACCAGAAATATCGGAAGTGACAGTGAAGAACCGAATAACCCCGGTTTTACTAACCAAGGAGAAATGCACCATTTTAAAAAACACTTTTCACCTCAAGCGTGCGACTTGTGTTGGACTTGGTGTGAAAGTGGATCCCTGAAGTGTTCTCAATGAAGAAAACAAATTGTCTATCTTATTGGTTAGCTAACCGATTTTAAAATCTCAAACAGAATCATGGTCATTGACAACTGGTGTTTGCTGAAACGGTGTAAATAAACCGCCTTGCCAGTATAATTAAATACAGGGTATTAAATAAAAAATAGAATTTCTCATCGCGGTTATTCTCCTGCCCGAAAAAAATTGCCTCGGCTCTCAAACCAGCACTAACTGTACAACCGTTTTGCCTTGCTGCGGATAACCGACAGGGCACGAATCCAGCACTGCTCATCAACCATGCAGAGTTGAACTTGAGGACCGTTTTCTGGAACGTTGTATGTTCGAAATTATCCTAATGTTTAGTGAAGATAAACGGAAACAAGGTCAGTCAACAGTACTTTACATGTACACAGTAGCCATGAGTCTAAAACATTTTCCCCTACATGTTCACAAGGGTATGCTAGATAACAAAACCGGAGCTTACATACTAGTGGCAATTCAAAACGCATCGTTCACACGGAAAATCTTATCGTGCCTTCGTCCTCGATAACCAGCTAGTCAAACTTGCAGGAAATTCTCACACGCGACCACACAAGAGCCCATCAAATTTTCTACCAGCCGCTTTGTGTGTCAACCGAAAATCGAGTACGTGGGTTTTCGGTTAATGTGATTACATGTGAGGACAGCACGCTATTCCAGGCTGATAAAAAGGTTAACATGAGGTCAGGCCGCAAAGTGCTTGGCTTCAATTTGGGCTAAGCAATAGTGGGCTGTCCCATACACAACACATCCATCAAAACTGCCAAGCAGAGAGACCTAAAAATTGCGATCCCTTTTTATCGACAGACATAACTATTGTAGAGAAAAGAATTGGTTTCATCTTTATCCATATATGAAAATTCTGCCATTTTCCCTCTCTTTAGATGTGATTTCTAAAGCATGCAAGGGACGAGGCGAGTGGTGTGACGGATCATTATTCAATCGATGCTGTGGTCACTTGAGATGTGAGCTTAAAAGCTTCGCGGATGGCATCTGTCGGAGCTGCATCGGTTCGGGGCACGCATGCGTACGAGATTCGCAATGCTGTTCGGATGACTGTCAATGGCTGAAGTGCCTGTGATAAAATAAAGACTTTATTTGACTGAAAAATTTATTATGTATCTTCGGGTACAATAAAGTTCAGCTGCAGTGTGTGTTTATGACTTTTCCATGGCATACTTAGTTTGTCTACATCCAACCAAAAACCTGCCGTGCATGAACATACGAAATTCCGCGCGGCTACGAGAGAAAATGCATCCAGGTTCAAACATCCAGCTTTCAATAGTTATCACGGAAGTGACGAAGGCAAACTAAGATCAGAACATATTCACTATCCATCTACTATTTCCAAAATTTTTCTGCAAACCGTTTCACATGCGTGAAACAGAACAAACTTCTTCCAAATGGCAGTTGCTGGAGTATTACATTTACTCTGCTGTACCAGAATCCACAAAATATTTTCGTCATCGAAGACTCTGCAGGTTTATTAGAGACGCAATCCTTGGACAACCTCCTCTTTTCATCGAGGAAATTCGATCGACCTAATGGAAACCCATGGGGCAATCACATTGAGGCGGGTAGCGCTTCTAGGTGAGGGTTATATATTTTGTATCCAGAACTTATGTACCTACCTATTTATATATCACTATATGTGTAAACCGAAATTCGCTGAAGTATCACCGTCCTTTAGACTGCACCCATGAAGTCTGTTTTTAATTCTCCTTAGGTCCTTTATAAACGGTTAAATACCATGCGGGATGATTAGGTACCGATAAATCCATTCACAAAGGTATTGTTACTCCACGTCACCGCTTCAGAAAATCAATATGCTTAGAGTTATCAGGCTGGGATTACAGTTCGGAACGGCTTATGCAAATCTTAGTGGTCATCCTGTGAACCCATTCTGATTACAAAGACAATAAAAACAAAAAGTGTTAATCTGGGACAACTCCGTTTGAATAAAACGTAGGTAAAGCTTAATTTAATGTATAGTGACAGCTTTGTGGCGCACGATTTGAAGTTGTAGCTAGATGATGTAGCGATCCTCTGAAAAGTTCGACTCCATAAAAACAAAGATGAAAGGCGGATTTGCTTAATCAACTCCACTGAAACATCGATGAACCCAGTAAATGCGTCGTACAAAGTTTATTGTAAAATTGAGTTTTCAAGAACTCAAACATCTTTTGATTCCGCAACCCCTTATTATCGACAAAACACAATTCTGTGATTTTGATCTTCAAATTCTCTATGCCATAAACGGGCGATTCGTAGAGTATGCTCATCCGGTGACTTTAGGACAGAGGGTTTAATGAATTAAATGCATAAACCATCTGTGGGATTAAAAAAATAAGCCGACGTGATCTATTATCATGCTCATGTAAAATGATGAAAATATGCAAAGGTGGTTCATTTCAGCACAAATATTTTCGAATAAACAAGCAACTACAGGTGTATACAACTATTCTGAGTCCCGTCAGTGAAACAGGAGCCGGTTAGCACCATTGGTGCTATTTTATGCTATACTTGAAAAGGGGCTTCTGACCGCTGATCTTTCGGCGTTCAGCGATCAGTCTTTTCTATTGCAGTTTGTTATCAGAAGCCGCCATTTTTTAATCAATAGACCTCAACACCCCTCTTGAGGTGTGCCCTCCATAATACAACAAGGCCAACTCAGCCATCTCATCAGAGAGCTCTAGAATCTTTATTCCCACTACTCGTAATATGTGGAATCTCAGGTGGATGCAATCGTAGGTACACACCGTAAATCTGATGCCACTATTTTTACTGTCAAACGGTAAGGAGATCTGAATGCAATACAAACTTTTTTTCTCCCCTGTGCCGCGATGAATTTCGAAAAATAATACCTTTGCTAACAGCAACTAGCATATCTAAAATAATCCTCGACTGAGATCGGTAATGCTGGCGAACTATGCTCCTGGTTTCCTCTAATCTATCCGTGAACAGAATGTGGAACGAACAGATCACATCGGTTTAAAGAGTGGTTGAGCGACAAACTACGAAGGAGGTAAACTTTGGATCAGGTTGAGCAGAAACCGGAGGATGCGTGAGGAGAATGGTTAATGTTAAGCTGGCAGTGATTTCGTTTACCATTAGAAATAGACAAATCAAAGAATTCCATTGACAAAGAACCTTCTAAATTCAAGAGTAAACGAGCCGACCATGTTTTCCCTATGGATTAGTTCTCGCTAAAACAAACAAAATAAAACGGTAGGTTTTAAAGTTAGCTTTATCTTTTTTCATAATAAACAAGACAGAAACAAAAGCGGACGAACAAAAAATGTAAGGTCACTTTCGGCCAAGCTGAACCAGATCAGTGGTGTTGCGTTTCACCCGAACTTCCATCCAGACGAGGGAAAGTTTGTCAAATGGCTGTTCTATTTAGAATAAAACAGAGAAGCACATTTTCACTAGTTTCAGGAACGTTACATAAGCTGTCACACCATGATACAGATATTTCAACCGATTAATAGATCTACCGCGCATTCGTGTTTGCAAAAGCAATCAGAATAGGGTAGAAAAAGCCTACCCAAGCTAGACAAATTGCCGACAGTAAGCATACGCGAGTACAAGGCAGCGCTTGCTGATGTCATGTGGGTAGCAGTGGAACTGTTTAAATGTCATGGTTGTACGTGTGCCGAAACAATGACGAGGGGCCCAGACCAAGACTGGAGAGCAACTTAAAAAACCCATAATACCCTTGGCTCGAAAGTCTGGCACCAAGATAGTGGTGCTTGGCAGGAAATGTCAATGGGTTACCATTTTCCAAGAAAAACGAGTTGACATGCGCGCTCCAACCTCCATTGTAATGGACCAGGAGATTGTGTTGGTCAGATTTCCAACCAGTGACCAGCCCGGTATGAAAGAGTCTGCGAGTGTCGCAAGGAAACATCCCACTATATCTCAATGAGTAACACCTTACCGTCACATCACGGTAAGGTCAAGTCTGTATGTGACAGGTTTGCTGTTATGTAGATAGCAAAGTTGAAACGCTTTTGAATGCCCACGAAAATGTGTGCCCCAAAATACTCCACAAAAGTACAGTAGACTTAACGTGATTTATTTTGCATTGAAATCCGTTGCACTCTAAACCGGCACCCATAGTAACCTGCATGTGTTGTGTGTTTCCTCCCCTTTGCATTTAGAGTTTGTTTGCAGTGTCGAAAACCGACACGGAAGCCCTATTGTTTTACAGTGTGCATATGAAAGAAGGTAATACGTTTGAGAGATAATAGTATCCAAACAAAGATTGGCCTCCAGTCTGTAACTCATTACCCTCTGATCGCGTCCATTCAACACTCAGACAGAAGGATAACTTGGCCGAACCACTACGGAGTGGATACTACTGAAAGATTTTAGGTGTAATGCCGTGGGAAATCTGCATGCATAAAGATATGGAAAAGCGACTGGTTCATGTACTGGTTGTTGCCGCCTATTCCAAACAATCTACCCCGTCATATTCCGCAACATTGCGATAAACCACAAGCGGTGCTACCCTTTATGTTTCTGTATGAATTTCATTCGGGAAATAGTATTTAGTTAGTGTTAGTATCTACAGCCCAGTTCCTGAGTGGTTGAATTTCCCAGCTCACAATCTCACACGTTTCACTCATCACCACCCCCACAAATTACCTCCCCTCTCAACTCCTCCTTTACAGCGTTGATACCGGAGTTAGTCTCTGCGTACTTGACGGTGAACTAAACGGTTTGCTAGCTTAGCAAAGTACATTCGTTGGCAACCTAATTTGGTTTTGCGAGAGACTCACCTGGAACCCAGCTGAAACTCTCGTTTGTGATGCGGGACTGTGCTTACCTGATAAGCCCCAAGAAGGGCAAAACCGGTCGTGGGATGTCGAAGAATTTTCAGCAACCTTATGAGTAGTGCATTACGAATATACAAGTTTGTTAACTTCTTTTTCCACAGGACTGGGCGCTCAATGAAACTTTGGTCGTCAGTAACAGCGCCACATTTTCCATACTCAGGCGTATCCAACCCAGTACTTTGGTGCATTGCATCTTTGCCCCCTTCCAAAATAAAATGCAAGAATAAACATATGTTTCGTAAGGAGAGTTTCTGGGTTGCTTGAACAAGTGGATGGTTCGCAATGGAATATCAAATAAATGAAGGACATGGGGTTCTTCATGAAATCCACTTATTGTCACCATAATTCCTCCTATGTTGCGAACACTTGGTCAGCTATCTTCATTATTGCTTCGATCTGTGTGACCCACGAAGATGATTTATATAAGCTTTTAGATCCTGCGCTACCCAAGAATCAACGAGAAAACAGGGAGCTTAGAAGACTGGTAATGAAGCGGAAATTAAGGAATCGAGAGAACAAATCGAAGTTCAGAATATGCACCCAGATAACATCTGCATGCGAACGCTACTTAGCGATAGGAACTGCAGTTACCTTTGAGCTGTTCTGAAGGCCGTTTCCTTCTTGCATTGTCGCCCAAATTTCTGGAGATTTTGGAATTCCTAGAAACTCCTCCAGGTGATTTCTGGAGAGGCTAAAAACCGAAAAAATCGAAGAAGACGAAAAATTGGTGTCCTCCGAAGTAACCTCGCTGTCTTCATCGGTTGATTTAAATGCAGTGAGAACGATGGTTTTCAGACTGTTGAACAATCGCTTAACCATCAATCGAAGACTTAAGAGAGCAGAAAATATCCTATCTACCATGTATGTGCTTGACAACTTACTTTGAGTTCAATGGTGAACATTATGAACAACTCAAAGGAGTGCCAATGGAATCACCAATCTCTCGATTCATTGCGGAAATTGCAATGTAGACACTGAAGCAGAAATATGAATACGATATTAGAAGACACATTTTCCACTGTAAACAAACTTGAACCGTCACGAGCAAATCGACTACTGAACAACGCTTTTCTTGATATCCACTTCAGAACGGAAACGCAGGAGAACAACAAATTGGCGTTCCCAGATGTGGTCGTCACAAGAACAACAGACAGCCAACTGTAAACTGAAGTATACAGGAAATAAACGCACACAGGTCAGATTCTGAACTACTATAGCACTCACCCGAACTGTCATAAATGAAGTTGTGTTCGAACCATCTTCAGGCGGATCGAGAAGCATCGTAATAAGCCAGACTCGGAG